CATCAGCATCCCTGGCCTCTGCCCACTAGATGCCAGCAGCATCCTTCCTGTCACCCCCAGTTGTGACAACCCAAAATGTCTCCAGACACTGCCAAATGTCCCCTTGACAAAGTCACCCTCAGTTCTAAAGGCTCGGAGGATTTTGGCAAAGGTGAAGTCATAATCGGAACAGTGGGTAGAAATTTAATTCAAGATGTTTCACTTTCTGACGTACATTCCACGATGCGATGCTGCTTACCACTGTACGTTTTTAGATATCGCTCCCCGAGCCACAGCTGTATCGTATTTGCTCTTTAACAAAGAGGACATCTATGTTCAGCTACATCTGTTCCGTGTCCAGGACTACATCGTTTCATTTCCAGAAGTATTTTATTCATTTTTACAGTCTCTTGTTTGTACATCACATTTTCATTTCTTCCTTTTATTTCCTTAAAGCATGTTAGATTTGATAATTTTCCATTCGACGTCTGCTAAGTCCAGCAGCTGAAGTCCACGCGTCTGATTCTGTAGTCGGTTGTCTTGCTGGCTTTGCCGATACCCCGTGTCCTTGTGAACTGTGCGTTCAGTGGCTGTAAGCTTGTGCTCCTGGTAACTGTGTGCGAGGAATTCTTTGAATCCTGGGTTTAATGTGGATTTCTCTAGAGAGCATTTCTGTGTGTTTCTGCTGGGCACCTGGGCTCAGAACCATCTGAGACCACCTTAAGTTCTCGACTTGAGTTTTCGTTGTTGTTTTTGGCTACATGGAAAGTGAATTAGGTCCACAGGCCTGTGTCAGGGCTGGCCGTGTTCTTTCCCTTCCCTGCCACCCCACCCTGCGTGGCTGGGCGTCTGACCTCCGTGGCCCTTGAGGGTTAAATTTGAATCTCCAGGTTGCAACCCTGGACGGCATTCTCGACTCTGCACTGACCGCTTCCATCGTAACTGGTTTGTTGCACAAACCTGGCTTGTGCTTGGATCATCACACACCTTCCACTCTTTGTCGGAAGAGTGGGCAGTGAAAGGACCCTGGCAATTTCGACGGCTTTCCTTCCCTCTCTTGAACAAGAGACAACTGCATTCACTTTAGGTTTTAAACTTGATCAGGAAGTTAGTGTTTCCAGTCCTAGGACTGATCAGACTCAGACATTCTCTTTGCCCAGCTTGAATTTCCATCACACTGGAAGCCTGCAGCATATCCTTTTCAGGGTCAGAGCGGGAGGGGAGGAGAGATGAAGACGTACTTAAACTGCTCCTGGCCCAGCTGACCCCTCCTCTCATGCTCAGCTGTCTCGTCTTCTTCCGAGGTTATTGTGGCTGGAGACCCTCCCCCCGTGCCCTCCCTCCCCAGCTGCAGGACAGCAGGGGAGGACAGCGCCTTTCATTTTGGGGGTTACTTAGAATTCTTCCTTCAGCCTTGGGCCTGGTGCCGGGCAGGGCCTCAGGGACCTCCAAACGTGCCCGTCTCCTGCACGGCCACGTCTCATCTGTTGGAGACATTGATATATCCTTTTCCCCACAAGCCCTGGGAACGCAGGCCACTCCGTGAGCAGTCCCTCCTGGTGCCTCCCCGGGGCCATGGCCGCCCTGCTCCCTCCTTTAGAAGCCAGGCCCCGGCACATCACAGTTCTCATGGTGGGGCTTGAAATAAAGGAGGGGGCATCCCCCCAACCCCGGAAAGTCCTTTGGGTGGAGGGAAGGGAAGGTGGAATGGCACAGCTTCTGCCAGTCACCTTGCTGTCAAAAGCCTCCCTCCCCTTCCTGCCCAGGGCGTCCTGTGTTCTCAGAGAAGGGGCAGCTCCAGGGCTTTGGAAGGCTGTCGGTTATCATCCTTGGAATTCTGAAATCGTTAACCTCTTGTGTATCGGGGACCTCTTGTGTATAGGAACTTTACTTTCCGTTCATCAATCATGAAATTCTGTTTGTTCCAAGTTCTCAATAATCCTGTTCTTCGGCAGCTGGGGACCGCGTCCCCTCTGTCTGTCCAGGACACGCGTCCTTGTCCGCAGAGCTCGCCCCAAATGCCGCCTCCTCGGCTTCTCCAGTTAGGATTCGCTCCTCATTTATCTCTGTTCCTGTAGCATTTTCTTACATGTTTCTTTCACATTATGTAAAACCTGCATCCGATTTGTCTATTCACTTTCCTTCTCTAACACACGGCTGTGAACTTCTCTGGAGGTCAGGAGCTGCGTCACAATCACGTCCGTTTCCCCTGGGCCGAGCACTGGGCCAGGTGCTCAGAGGAGCTCGATAATCGTGTGTTCAGCTGAATCGACTGCACACCAGCCAGTCTGGTCCTCTCTCGGAAGCAGCATTAGCCATGGAATTCAGTCCCAGACTGATTGTGCTTAAGTCGGGGAGAAACTCAAGATGATCAGGTGTCTGCTGAGCTTTTGGTCTTCTCTCCAGGCTTCCCCACCCCATCGTCTGGGCACCAGCCCAGGCTTTATTAAGCTCACTTTTTCTTTCCCAAAATTTGCTAGAGATCATTTGGACCCAGGTTAAAGTGGGCCCTGATACCTACCCCAGATTTGGTGGTCTGGAGGGTTTGGTGGTAAATGATTGCCAGAGACTTTGATATACCTCTGTTTTACTGGAAGAAGGGCAAACAGACTTGTTCTAGCAATGAAATGAATTTCTCAGTTGAAATACGGAAGCTGCTTTTTGTTTTCTTTTGAGATGTCCAAGTTCAACAGAGCCATTTTGTAGCACTCAGCTGTGAGGGATCGTGGATGTCCCATAAGACACTGCCTTCCCGGTCCTGTTACAACAGGTCCACATGCTCCTTGTAAAAAAAAAAAAAAAATTATTTACTTATTTGGCTGCGTCGGGTCTTCGTTGCAGCATATGGGCTCTTAGTTGCGGCATGCGGGATCTAGTTCCCTGACCAGGGATCAAAACCCAGGCCCCCTGCATTGGGAGTGTGGAGTCTTAACCACTGGACCACCAGGGAAGTCTCAAAATGCTCTTGTTTGTAAAACACAAGCCTGCCCCAAGGCTATTGCTCTGAGCAGGGTGCCCCTGAGCTAGCATCATTGACAAACCATACTCCTGTCTCTGACTTGTACCATCTACCCACAGCCGGCTTCTTCCTCATTCTTGGAGCAGGTGACCAGCCCGATGTCTGATGTCCGTCAGCTGCTGTCTTTAACAGAGAAGCAACATGGCACAGCCCTGGCGTGTCTTTGTTTGCTTAGAGCTGGGATACCTGAGTGGCGGTGGCGGGAGGCCCAGGGCGGTAAGAAGCTCATTCCCAGCGTAGGTACAACAGCCCTCCAGCAGAAGAATCCTTGCGGGAAGCAGGAACCGGTTTGGGGCATATTTTCATCTTAGGGATGCACAATGGGAACACAGAACATGGAAGTGTGCTCAAGCTCATCAAGCAAGGAAATGGCAGTGCCAGCATCTTGATGCTAAACTGTGCTTACCACCATTAAACCTCAGGGAGACTGTCTGACTTCACCTCTTGACCCAGATGCAACATGAACTTACCAGTTCTTACCTGGGAGCATCCGCTGTCTTCACACACTTTAGCAAAGATAGCCTGACACAAGTATTAATGCGACCTTTGATTAAGCCAAGGGATGATGTGACATGTAGATTTTTCACAGTCTGCCTAGCCAAGCAGTACTTGGCACACAGCAGCGGTGCAAGAATGCTTCTGGACTTTTCAGGGGCTGGTGGCAGTATGCTAATAAGATTGTTTGGCCCTGTTTTAAACATAAAAATACGTGGACAGTGCACAAGAGGAAAACAGAAGGCTGCACAGAGTCCTAAACTCACAAATCTGGAACTGCCTACAGCCCTCTGGTGAGCATTTCTAGGAATAAAGGAAAAACAAAGGGTGTTCCCCTTTAAGGCAAATCCCCTGCAGCCCTGCAGCTGGTTTCTGAGAGCCCTGACTCAGGACACTCTGTGTTCAGGCCCTGATAAGTCTTCCGTTTGGATAATTTTCTATACATGGGAGTCGGAGGTCATGGAGAACGGATGTGCCTTTGTTCTCCAAACACTGCCCTGGGAGGCTTCCCCAGCTGGCTGCCGGCGTCCCGGGCTGCCTGGGGAACCTTTCATCACCCGGGCAAGGACTGGCGGACCCCCAGGCCGGGCGCCCGGGCCGCGGGGACGGGCTCAAGAAGAGGGCCGCAGGGGCCAAGGGGCGAGGAGAGGTGCAGAGCGCACGTGTGCAGGCTCATGGTGCACCCCTCCACCCTTTTGTTCCATGTTCTAGAAGTGTTTGCTAATCAGCAATTAAAGTTTTGTACGGCACAGAAGAGCATGATTCCGAAGTCTGTATCTGGGTGCTTTAAGGAAAGAAAACATGACACCCCGAGCTAGAAAAACGCCCAACAGGCCAACGAACTAGAACAGAGAGCAAGCGACAGGCGCAGCTGAGCCGCCTCGCCGCCCGCCCCGCGCGGCGCAGCAGTCCTCCTCGGGCTCATCAGGCATGCGCCTCCGGCGTTGAAGACCCTTTCTAAAGCCGGAAGGCAAAAAATGACCATGAGAAATCTGACCAGCCATCGCTTGGGACAAGAGTGAGGCCAATGAATCCAGTGAAAATTTGACAGAGGGGCCTGGGTCCCCTGGCTCGACCCCTTCACTGAGAAGCCGAAGCCTTTTACACAGGGATGAGCTTTTACACACTTGGGTTTCTTCGGCCAGTGCAACGTTCATGAAACACGCTAAAGGAAAATGATCGATCGACGTGTTTGTGTTGTTTGCCGTCTGCCTGAGCGCACGCGATACGAAATGGAAACCGGGGGAGGGGGTGTGTGCTGATGTTCGGGGTCTAATGGGAGAAGCCTTGGAGGGAGGGTTTTTGCCCTTAGGGTGCCTTGGTCTGGGGTTGACTTGTGTGCGCTGAGAACGAGGGCCGTTATTGAAGGCCCTGTGCAGATTTTGGACATCATGATCCATGGAACCCTGAAGTTTTGGAACCTAGAAGTCTTTTGGTCTGCATTTGAGTTGGAAATCTTCTCCTTGACAGAAAGAAGCACACAGAAGGAGGAGGAGGTGGAGGAGGAGGAGGAGGAGGGATCGCTGGGCCCCCGGCCGCCGTGGCCGGCTCGGCCTGCCCTTTGTGCCCGCAGCCCGCGCCCCGTGCCGATGGCCGCTGCGCCGGGCTTCCCGACCGCTCGCGCCCGCAGACGGACCTAACCCCGCGCGCCTGGGATGCGCCGGGGATGCGCGTCCTCCGGCCCTGCGGCTCCTCGCGGCTGGGCGCCGGGCGATGGAGCTGAGCATGAAGTTCACCGTGCGCAGGTTCTTCTCCGTGTACCTGCGCAAGAAGTCGCGCTCCAAGAGCTCCAGCCTTAGCCGACTCGAGGTAAATGCCCTCGCCTCTGAGCGCGCAGGTACCCAGGTCCCCGCCGCGCCCTGGAGGATGCTGCGGGTCTTGGGGCCATCCATCCCGAGCCCTTTCCTGTGGTCACATGCACGGTCACCCTGAGACCCATGTCAGGGAGTTGAAAGCTGGTCCGGTTTTCCTAAAACCGAACGTTATTGTTGGGACTTACTGATAACTGGACCGGTCCTCGGGTCCTCAACAGGGACTAAACTTTGCCCCCATTGAATTTCTAACTAATTTTGTTCCACGCTGTGCGCAGGGTTTGGGGTGGTCACCCTGGGTGCCCACAGGGGTGCTCCGGGTGGGGAGGGCTTTTCAGCCCGTGTCGCTCGCAATGGCACCTCAGAAGTCCCAAGTAGAGAACCTGCCCAGCCCCACCCTAGGCTGGTGTTGATCGGGTTTATTTTGCCCTGACCCAGAGCAACACAAATACTACCATGTAGTGTAGATTGTTCGTGTATTTGAAATCAGTGTAGAATTGACAAAAAGGGATATATTTTTTTTTTTTTAAAAAGGGCAGCAACACAATTTACTTGGACTGGTCTGAAACGGTGCTCAGTAGTAAAGTGCCTGATGCAATATCTCTGCAGCTCGGGGTTTGATATAGATTCGTCCCGAAAGCCAGAGGACCCTGAAAATAGTGTCCTTCTCTCAGGTCCTGCATCATGTCATCTTCAGGTTTTCAAGTCATCTGTGGACGGTTCTCTAATGTGTTTTGTATTTCAACAATCACATCTTATTCTCTTCACCCCAGTGTCCAGAGTACGTGGTTGAATCTATAGATGACCAAACTGTGAAGCATGTTTAAGTAAAAAAAAAAAAAAGACATTGTGGGGTTTGGGGGGAGGGGGGTGGGAGGTGATGACACAGCCTAGAGATTTCTTTTGACATTGCTCTCGCCTGTGCCACAAGGCTGGCACCTATGGAGGTTTTGATGTGTTCTTCTCTAACGAAATCAAATCAGTTGGAACAGTGTCACATTTTTCATCTTGAGTTTCTTTGTCCTGGCTGCCATGATATTAAGATACAGGCATGGGTTCTGCAACAATTAAGAGGGCTTTAGGGAAAGCTCAGGAATAGACATGAAAGCAACAGGGAATTACTTGTTTAAAAAGTTTCTGTTATGATATCACTAAATCAGAATTTTAAGAACTAGGTTAGGTTTCTGAGGGTAAAACATATCTTTCAAACAAATACAACTATTCATTAAATTGTGGAGGAGGGCTTGCTTTAAACCTCATGCTGACAGAGATGAAGCGTAAGTTCACTGAGATAAGTCGTTTTCCTGGGTCTCAGGCACTCAAAAAACGAAAGTGGACAAGAATAGAAACTCAGGAGAGTATTCACCTTTATACCTAGTATGTCTTTATTCATCGGAATGCCAAGTTTATTATTCAGCGCCTTGTCTCCTTCCATTTATTGTCCTTGTCAAGGCGAGGCAGTAAAGTCCCGGAGTCGTTTAAGAAGAGGGGCATAAACACTGGCAAAGCCGTGGGGTCAGGAATCCTCTCGGCACGATATACTCACCTCTGGTGTTCTGGTTCGGCAAGGAGAACCGGGTTGTGGAAGTGCCTCAAAAAAATATATAATAGGAACCAAGTGTTGCTTAGAAACGATGTTGCTTCAATGTGAAAATAAAATTTCTGTATACAAAATAAAACTATAAATAAACCATCAGCTATGCAGAAGGTCAAGCCGACCAGGAAGAAATGTAGTCTGTCAGCATGTGGTCAGTGAGCACTTCGTCTGACCCAGGTGCTTGTGCTGGGGGCTGGACAGAAGGTCTGATAAAGATGCCCAGCACTGATAACAGTGCTCTGTTCTCTGCAGATGCTCTCAGCAGCTGCTTGCAGTTGATACTTGTGAAAATCCGGGTAGACGTGTGTTACTCCCCTCCTTCTACTGCTAGGGAGGAAAAACCCTGAGAACAAAACCCGAGAATCATGCTGAAAACCGAACAACTAATTCACTCTGCAAGTGTTCACTGAGAACCTCCTATGTGTGCAGCTCTTTTGTGGGCATTGTAGGTCCAAAAAATATAAGACGGAGCAGCCCTGGCCTCATGGTGCCTCCACCTAGTGGGGGATCGAATCAGTGACTGACTGACCTGTGCTTCAGTCCAGTCAATTCCATGTTCCTGCCCGGCTACCTTCCATCATTTCCCAAAGAAGCCTGTCTATTTGTCTGTATAGTCAGAGCGGATTATAGACCAAGAAGCACTCACCAAAAATTGTGAAATTTAGGAGGCAGGTTTGTCCATAATTTGAGGTTGAGAAGTAGGACATATAAAGTACTTCACAGGGATGCGTATGTAGTCCTCTGTTTAGACTAATGAAAAAGATAACTCATTTTGTCAAAAGAATCGTGGTTATTTTTAAACTCTTTCTGTGAAATTGATAATTTAAAATATACACAGAGACTTTGAAAATTTTTGTTTTCTTTACATTCAAAATCTAGTGATATTGACAGGAAAGTAACAGTACTTACTTTAAGGTTGAAACAGCATCATCTTTGTCAAAAAGGCTTTTAGGGAGAGGCTTAGTGTTTCACCCTTGCTTTTAAATTTGACTTGACTTTCCGGCCTAGAACTCAGCATTTGGTCAACTCTAACCACCAGAGAAGCCAGGTTGTTTGATCAGATTTGGAATCGGTTTATGAATTACAGCTTAAATGTTTTTACAGTGTATCAGCATTGCAGCAGCTGAGACGGCTAGATCTTGGACTCTGGCAGGGATGATTTTGGGGGGTTTCTAAAGGCAACTTGGATGTCTTGCACAGATTTCTACGCACATGGCCTAGAATGGTTTCAGGGCTCAGCGTCTGCCAGACCCTCACCCCCGAGAAAGCTCTGATATCAGGTCATTGACAACATTGCCTGAGATCCATAGTACCTCTAGAAGGTGTAACCATTGCCTCATCTAACTGTCCATTTCATAGATGAGAAAATGGGGCCCAGGGCAGCAAAATGACTTGTTTATGCTCCTAAAATGTTTGACAGGGAGTTCTTTGCTATAAGGGCATGTACTGTTTATTATTAACTTTAGCCATTTCAGGTTGCGTGGTTATTGGAGTTTACCAGGTATTGGATGATGCATGAATGAAGGCTATTACAAGTTTTTAAAGAAAACTACTCTAGGGGATATTTTGGAATGTGCTTCGTAACCTAAAGTTATTCTAGAAAACCTTTTCTGGAAGTTAGAAAGTTCCAGGTGAACTTGGGCTTTGCATCAGATTTACTAAAGTTGGATTCTCACTTTTACCTCTCACAGCAGGGCAGTTCCTTAAACTCCCTAAGCCTCATTTTTCTCCACTGTGAAATGGGGATGGTAGTAGTTCCTACCTCTTGGGGTTAATATGAGGGGTATGAGCCGCCATATGTAAAGGCTTAACGCGGAGTCTGGGGGATAAAATCAATAATCAGTCATTGTTAGCTGTGGATATTGATAAAATATTTCCCGGGTTCATTGATATTTTTCATATTGTTCAGCGTCTGCTGGTTCTGTCTGAAGCTGAGGTTTTGCCCCGACGGCCTGCGGAGCCCATGGCTTGTGCTGTCTCCCAGCCTGGTAATTGATTAATCGTTGAGGCGCCCTTGCTGAGTGCCTTGGGGAAGAAAAGGCAGAGATCAATCCTCCCAGGCTGGATTCCAGCCTGTTTCATTCGATAGGACTGGCGCCATTTGCTAAGATGACAGCCCCAGTCCGTCATCTGGCTGGGATGGTGATATTCCTTTTCCTTATCTTGCCTGTCACCCTGGGATCCGAGAATGCATTACAGTGCAGGTCCTAGAGCCACGGCACCCAGAGCTCAGGCTGCTCCTAGAGTCAGGACCTGCCCCAGCGTCAACGTCCTGACTTGGCAGAGCTTTGGGAAGGAAGCCTGCCTACTCATCCTTCAGTAGCCCAGGAAAACCTCCAAAGTGTGAGCAAACTCCAAAGCCTAGCCTTGGGGCTGGGGAAGGTTGAGAGAGGTTGGCCAGGAAAGGCTTGGGAGGAAATATTGGGTTTCAATTAGTGAAAAGTGATACTGTTCGCTCGGGGTAAGATTTATCTACCAATCTGCTACACGTATCAATACTCAATGTCGGTTCATTTAGGGAACACTTACTTTGCTTGAGGTTATCACCCAAGACGGGAAGTTGGTTCTCTTTGTTTACCTATCATTTCATCTGGTTTTGACATTTTTACTGAAAGACAGTTGTGGCTGAGTGAGAAGGACAAAGGCAAGTCCTCTCTCAGGGGTATTGATAGTGGTAAGCTGTTGAGTTGAGAAGGATTTCATTTATTTATTGGCTCAGTTATCTACATACTCAGACTTTTTAGTGTATCCCATGTGCATTGTGCAAAGCAGTTGAGATGGAAAGGTCTGATCCCTGCCCTCAGTGAACTTAACATCTAGTGAGAGAGAGAGAGGCAGACACGTAAATGGAAGCCCGCTATGTAGGGTGTAAGTCCTGTGAAATTATTGGCATCGTTGGAGTTCAATGGTCTGATTACATCAATTGTCACTTTGTTCCGATTTCCAACGCTCACAGATAATCAAGCATTATCTTTGTGCACGAGTGCACACATGAGTATATTTTAATTGCTTACCCCTTTTTAAAGGAAGCATGGTATCCTAATAAATTCAGTGTTAAGGGACTCTTAGCAAATAGAGCCGTGTTGGCTCCGGTCATGAAAAAAAGAAAAAGAAAGAAAACTTCCTGGAAAGTTAAACATTCAGGCTTATTCTTGGTCCTTGACTGGTAAACTCTTCTTGATATTGGGAGGTTTCCAGGAAAACCATCTCTAATTAAAATAATTTACAGGTAATTTCAGTAAATGCACCCGAAGTAATTCCGTGCTAATCCTGATTTTGCTGGGCTTTTGGATAGCAATAACAACACCAAAACGTCAGAGAAGACCACAAGAAATAGTCCATTTTAGTGAATACTTAATTTGCTTATTGTTTTGCCTATTTATGCATTGTTCTGTTTTGAA